AAGTGAAGGCTCATTTAGTTCAATTAGATTTGATGCCAAAATGCAAAATAAGGATGAAGCTACATCGCCTCATGTCAGTGGGTCATCTTTTATGACAGACAAAGTAATTCCTGACCAGCTTCCTGAAATTCCCTTCTGGTGGCTAAAAGTTGTTCTGTTTTCAGAGTTTGTATTTTGATTTTTATCTGTCAGTGTCTGAGACCCTCAGGGTAGAGCTGTCAGATCACTCTCCAGAAAGTATACAAGTCTTTCTAACACCGTGGGTGTGCAGGGTATTTGTTGATTACAAACACAAGCTGACATAATGTTTGTCTTTCACAGTCCATGAGGGTCTACATCAACGCTTTGCACATTGACTTTTTTTAATTTGTGGGCATACATATTGCTTTCAAAAAAAAAATCTTTAAATACTTTTTACCAGATCCTTTCCAAGGTAAAATCTGTGTGACACTGAGTGGCAAAGTGAGAAAATGTTGTTCCATTCCGTAGACCTAACACCACTCCCCTTATGAAGCATCAAGTCTCTGTGCAAGTACCTGCTGCAGGAACTCTTTTATCATGATGTTTGATGCCACACTGAACTTTTGGTTCTTTATAGACTGGTTGAGGTGAAAACAAAGTTCAGGACTACAGATCTAGACTTCAAAGTAAAGCCACTTAATTGTAGATTGATATTAAACACTGCTATACATGGGAATCATAGATTTACCAGATTGTTATCCTGTAGTTATGTTGGGTAAGGATTAATGTTTCTACTTTGCAGAGTTCCAGACTCTAGTTTACCTTCTACTGGTGTTCTTCCAGCATGTAGAGTGCAGTGTGTCCTAACACAGTATAAAACAGTTATGTAGATTCGATGGGCTGCTCTATGACATCATCACAAGGTTGCTCCAGGGTCTTCATGCCCTAACACGGTTGGACCCCAGCTCATACATGTTGTCCTAGCCTCCGACTACAACAATATCTGGGATGGGGCAGAACATGCTCCAGTAATATAAAATCTTTGCTTCATTATTGACAGGACTCTCGAGAAACTGTTCTGCAATGGCTGGAGAGAACTGCGGGGATTTCATTCCTTCTTTGAAGTTAGCAGACAGAGGGAGTGAAGTGTGTGCTGATGAGGATCATCTCCAGGATGGCCATGAATGTTGTGAGCAGTATGGGAGTGATGAGGAGAATATGGATCACCAAATACTGCCATCTTCTGAAGAGCTCCAGGCTGACCTCCTCGAGTACCTGCTCAGCCAGGTCTGAGGGGAACATGCTCGTGCTACAAGCAGTGTAGCCGCACTTGCACTTGTTTTCAATTTGTTTTAATTCCTTTTATTTTCAACCTGTAATTTTTATTACATAGTGCTGTGGCGATCAATGAGGTCTGCTGCAGGCCTAAAGTGGAGTGGCTCTTCGAGCCTAGTATTGTGCTGGGGAGAGAGGTAACATGTGCTGTGCTTCTGTGAATATAGCACCATGCTGTGGGGGACTGCTGAACTCCATGCTAATAATTCTTGTTGAGTATAACTCCTGAAGCAGCTGCAGGTCACACTTGGCTATCCCTCATCATTGATCCTGGGTAGGAGTGCCAGCAAAAATAGCCTCTATACCAAGTCACCTCTAACTTCCATATGTGCATTTTGACTGAACAGCAATTGAAAACCACCTTCTACCCTGGGATACTGAAGTAACCATAGGTTGACCGTTATTTCCCCAATTATGACTCCTTTAATTGTACACAGATCAGGCAATTCAAATCCATTCCAGGGACTTGTAGATGAGTATTGCTGCTGATTTTAGAGGCCCTGGAATGAATACCTCTCTCTCTCTTTATTTGAAGCCATTGGTACTTGTTTTGTCACATACTTCCTTCATGCAACAGCAACGTAGAACAAATGGCAGCAGAGCCTGCTGGGAACAAAAGTCACTTCTAGGGATCAGTGGAACTCTGGGAGAAAAACACATCTTTGTGAAGGCAGGGAATTCAGTCAGTTTGCAAAGATCCAAACCAAGGAGAGAGAAATGCAGAACTTAACCCAGCAGAGAAGCTGCCTGTCTGTCTTGTAATATTGCACAATGAACACTCCTTCTCTTGCACTCAGCCCACGGCCCCACCCGAGACTATCCATTGCATGCAAATGATGCTTAGAATATTGAATCTAACAAGTTGCCTAATGACAGGATTATGCAAACAGCACAGTCCCCATCACAGGCTGTGCACAAGTTGAGGGTGAGCAGTTTATTCACACTTCATTGATAAATTGGTGTTTCACCAAGAGGGCAGCCTGATGTCCTCAGATAACAACTTAATATACTTATGCATTGAATGATAGAGTCTGAACCTTTAGTTTTTGGGGATTATGAATATTACAACAGTTTAACAAATTACATGGAGAATTTCCTTCCAATCTACTGTTTTAACTAGGAGCTCATGCCTAACATTTTATGGCAGATCAGCAGACTGAGTCAGAGGTTAACGTGCAATAGCCTGTGGTAATGGAAATCTGAATGCTTCCCTAAAAGTGCCTTAGTGCAGAAAGAAATGTATGTTCACCCTAAAGAAGAAATCCAAGCTGAAATAATTGTACACTGAATATGCCTTTTTTTAAAGTGGCTACACAATAGTTGGGAGCATGTTTTTAAGGGTTTGTTCCAAGTTTAACACTCATGTATTAGCACACTTTATACTCTATTATATTTTATTGACATTAGATTTATATATGTTATTATTACATAGGACAAATCACTCAATTTAAAAAAAAAAGTTTGAATATTAAGGTCACATATTGAGGGTGCTGAATGTCAATAAGACACTTCAGGAACATTATTTTTGCTCTTTGTGACCATTCATGTAAGAGGTGAATATGAAGGAGTTGTCATCATTGTTCACTGATCAGAGCATCTTGAAAATCTTTGTGAAATCTAACAATCAGGTTAAGCTTGCCCTTTTTTATTTCAGTGTCTGGTTGATATCGCATTGGGAATTTGATTTATTATAGATATGTTTTGGTATCCGCGTGGAAACAACAACCAGACAGCCCATTCTGAACTGCTATTTCAGCTGGGGTTGATCTATACTCTGCGTGATTCATAATTCATAATGTTTATTTTGCAGAACCGCGAGAGAGTTTGGTCAGAATTTTGTAGAAAGCAACATCTTGTTAAGCTATATGACCATTGCACTTAAAACAAATGAACTCACCTTTATTGGGAAAATGAATTGAAATCGGGGTTCACTGAAGTCATTTATTGTACAGTGCTGTTCTGTAGATTTCCTGAGATCATCACCAATCCCAAGTGATTGTTTCCGGCATACTGTTTTTTTTTAAATTGAAACCTTTCAGTCACCAATATTCTACATTGTTCTGTTTAATTCTCATTTATTTCTATCATCTAATGTTGTTTGCAACCTATAAAATGCATTTGCTTAAGGTTTCCGGCCACTTCTTGCCTACTACTCAAACTGATTTCAGTAAATTTCTCAAATTGTAACTGATTTCTTGCTAAAGTTATACATTTTACTGTAAAACAAGGGATTGAATGGTGAAACCATTTAGTGATGGACATCATTATCTCTCTCCATTCGAGGATTGCAGTCTGAATTCTCCAGCGTTGCTTGGTTCCAGATTAAAGTTACCACTAAAGCATTGCTTTAGTATGAAATAAGTTAATGGATAGTTATTTTAATTTAATATATTTTTGTGCATTTAATTTACAGTCTAGTGTTCTGGCAGTTTATTTTTAATAAAGCTGGTTTCTATTCCTAAAAAAAGCAACTTGGCTAACAGATTGCTAACCTTTTCACTACACACTTCCCTAAAGAAATAGTCAGCTGTTCTTCAATAGTATAACCAACACTATCTTATGATCAAGGCATGAGTAGACTATTGCTATCTTTGCTTCCCACGTGTTACAAGGTATTGTTGGGAATATAAACCAGCACTTCCCAAAATTTTTCTCCCCTGTGAGCCCATTTCAAGAGCCGAGGGCCCCTTGGTGAGACACTGGTGTGCAGAGGGTGTGGGTGAAGGGGATCTGCATGCTGTTAAACTTACTCAGTTCCATGGTAGCTACTGCTGTCTCAGCTGACAACTACATTTCAGGTCCTGACCACCATTTTTGAGAAGCCTGATTAAAAACATTTCTGCTTCTCTTCTGAACTGCATTGCTTTTCTACCATCCTATTTTAATGTGTTATCTACAGCCACAACACAATAATGTCCTACACTCCCATTCACAACAATGACACTAATTCCAACTTCTGATTAGTCTGGCTATATCTACAATGTATTACAAAACTCTGTATATTTAAAAAGCTTAGTTTGACAGGTGAAAATTATTACAAATTGTGAATTTCTGCTCTATGTAGTAAGTTTTCAGGGACCTTAGTTATACATTGATACCAAATATTTCTAATCAGTCATCATGTGTACAAATGGTACCTAAATGCTGTGATGTGTAATTCAACACCTACAACATCTTACCAGACTAGTCAGAAACAATTAGAACTGCTTTAACCATTATCCCGACCTTGCCAAACCTGTTGGGATCACCAAGTGTCATGAGAATTATACAAAGTGTAATCTATTATATATTTCATAAAGATTCCAAGTGTCAGAATGAATTATTTAAGCTTTGTACCTCCTTGACCTTTACATACAATATTTTTGTATTTGCGCTGTGTAAACAGTAAAGTTTATCATCAACTGATTTGCTTTTAAAGTATGTTTTCATTGGTCTTTTCCTCAATTGAGTGTATCATGGTAACCTGCAAGCTCTATTTACTTCAAACATATTTCTGACATGTATCAGGTGTCTAGAGATGATTACCTCAACCAGGTTAGTAACAGTTGACGGGTAACTGAAAGAGGGTCTGCACTGCCATAGCACCTTACCAATGACCGTAATTTATCACCTTGGTTTATAATTACATTACACCAATTTTAAAACAGGGTCATATGTACAAAGTCTAGCAGAGAATGTTTTTTTTAAAATAAATAGTGCTTTTGTTTTTCATTTGCAATTTTAATTGGTGTCCGCCAGCATGAACACTCCATTTAATCACCACCACCTCTTAATCACCACCACCTCCTAATCCCCCTTCTGGAATATAACCTTTTTCAGTGATTTCTCTGAAATGGTCCATTATCTTCCTCACTGCTATAGTCCTCTGCAAGTTGTTGTTCTTCATCTCCCCATTCTAAGGACTCTAGTTCTTCTGTCTCTATCTCCTCACGGCTCAGTAGCTTCTTAAAGATGTCAAACTCTTCCTGGGTTGACCTGGCCACTTTAGCCAGAAAGTGGTCCTCAGTGGTGGAAAGTACGTCCTTCAGTTTAGGGTTTACAATCTGAGTCTGTCCCTTCTTATCTGGAGTCTGGTAAAGTCCCAGACGTTCCAAGAAGATGTGACGCTGCTTCAGTTCTTCCAACGACACCCGGAATAACGCAGATTTTGCGATTTCTGATTGTTTTATACCCATTCGGAAGTAGGCATACTAGGACAATAGAGACAATTTATGACCATTTGATTAAATGATACTTTTTAGAAGAGACGGATGGTAATAACAGAGTTATGTATGTTTAGCTCTTTGCTAACATCTGTAGCCCAAAGTTCACAACCCTGTCATATTGCTTTACTTATGCATCTAATTTTCACCTGCACTAAATAAAAACTGAAAGAAATGCAGCTGCTGCAAATCTGGAACAAAACCAGAAATTGCTGGAAAAGCTCATAGGTCTGGCAGCATCTGTGAAGAAAAAAAAAAATCAGAGTTAACGTTTCGGGTCTGTGACCCTTCCTCAGAACTGATGGCAGCTAGGAAAACGTTAGTTTATATACAGAAAATAGGGAGGGGAATGGGGTAGCTGTTAACAGGGACTGTTAGTGACTAACAATAGGTAGTTTGTAATGGCAGGCAATTTGATAACAAGGCCTGACGTGTAGGGTAGGGGGCTGGGACACGGGAGAGTTTGGGCCCTAAATTTATTGAACTCAGTAGTGAATCTGGAGGACTGCAGGGTCCCCCAGGTGGTAAAGGAGGTGGTGTCCTTCCAGATTGCGTTGAGCTTTGCTGGAACACTGCGGCAAGCCAGAAACAGATGTTGGCCAGGGAACAGGTAGCTCAGGGTCTTTTTTTTTTTCCTGCGAGCAGAACGTAGATGTTCTGTGAAGCAGTCATCCAGTCTATGCAACAGAGGGCAATGAGAGAATGAACGACTTGTTTGGGGTCTTTGTTTAGATGGCAGGAGTTGAAGGAATAGTGTTGGTAAAGACAGCAGAGAAATTCCTCCCCTTCAAACTGTACCTTGTGATTTTTATTTACTATCTGAATAGGCAGATGTCAGTGTCCTACGAACTGAAGATTTAAATATTTTTAAATCCACAAACCTAATTGGTGCAATACTCAAATTAATGTCTCAGTAAATGTCACCTGGAGATTTCCCTGGATAAGTTTGAGGGGAAAAACACTAATAACAAGAGAGATCATTTAGGACTGAGATGTGAAAACATTCTGGTGAATCTTTGGAATTCTCTACCCCAAAGGGTTGGGGAGACTCAGCTATTCACAGGTTCAAGACAGACAGCAACAGAATTTCTAAATAATTAATACATCAAGGGAAATGGCACTGAGATAGGTGATCGGCTATGGTTAAATGATGGATCAGGTTCATTGGGCCCAATCCCCCTCCTATTTCCTCAGTTATAGAGTCAGATATGAAAGACTGAATCCCAGATTCTACAGGTCTGAACTTTCAAACCAAGAGTTGAGGTTCCCAAACAGACTGTTTTTAATTGATCCCTTGAAACATTCTGCTGGTGAAAGTACATTTTACAGGCATCAATTTTAAAAAAACCTATATACCTTCATAAAGTATTACCAATAGAATATTCTACAATAAAACATAAACGAGCAAAGGGCAGGAGAAAGCATAAGTAAGATGAGTTAGTCTCATACAGTGTTATGAGGATGTGCTCATTACCTGGAACTTATATTCCAATTCTTCAAATTTCTCAAAAAGGACATTAGGTGAAGTCCGAAGGATTTCTGTGATCTGAGCAGCTGTGAAAATACACTTGTCTTTGAAGAAACGTACTGTGTTGTTCACCTGTTTTGCAGAGAGATTCAGGATCTGTGGGGAATGCACCAAGACACGTTGTAGACTGCCTAGAGAAAGGAAAGGTACACTGAAAATGAACAACAGGGCCAGAGGCTTCTCATGAAGATTTTCTCCCATCAATCTCTCATAACAATCAGGTTTTTGTTTATAGAGAGAAAACCTCCATTCAGCGGGAAGCAGGGAGGATTTAATATCAGAGAAAGCAGACCGGAGACGGCAATAGGTCATGACAAAGTGAAACCAGTGTTGAAGGGGCAAGATATAAGGCACCTTCCACGTTTCAAGCATAAACACAGCAGACTTACAACTCTAGGTTATCATCTTGACAATGCTTGTATACTTCTCGTTCAATGTATTGAGTGAATCCTGTGAAATAGACAGGAACCATTATATTACCTTCTCCCAGCCCATACTTCTGCAGGCTCTCAATAAGTGGTTGAAGTTGATGTGCCTTTGCTCCAAGCAGCTCTGGACATTTCTCCAGGATCTTGATAATGTTACTTGGGTTTAGGCCGAGGAGGTTGAGTACATTGAGTGCAGCGAGGCTCTTCTGTGGAGGCTGCACAGTGATTTTGGGATTCAAAGTGAGCAGCTGCTTTACCTGAGCCTGGCTTAGTCCCAGCTTCAGAATCGACTCGATCACACTCTCCAGCCCTGAGGGATCAATGCCAGACTTCCCAGAATGCTCTGCAGCAGTTTGCCTGAGACCCTGTAAAAACTCAGATCTGATCTTTGCAGCAGAAAGAGAGTTTGATGATGTTTTCTCAGATCGTCTGGAAATCCCGGCTGTACTGACGCCACGAGAGGCACATGGCCAAGTGCCTGCATTTTGAGCATCGTCTCTCTCTGATGTAGTGGAGAGCTGCCAGTACGTGCCTGCTGCCTGAATCCTGTGGAGGTGGCAGTGTAAGCGTACAGCCTGAAAGAGCAGAAGGGAAAAGGTCCATGTGGCAGTTTAATGCAAAACAATCAGCCCAGAGTGAACATGGAGCTCTGAAACCTTTTGAACTTCATTCTGCACCATCAGAAACCCTACTGGGGGATGGGGGTGGACTACCATGTTACATGCAGAGTTTTATTTTCAAATGTAATGACTGAGCTCCATTTATTCATCATCTCTGTACAGGATCCACCTTCCTCTTCCCTTTTACAAAAGGCCAGTGCAAAGGATTTATTAAAAACCTCCTCGATATACCGAGTCCTATCTTCATACCAGCTGTCCAAATCAATCTGATCATTAATACAATTCTAATTACTTCGGAATGGATGCACCACTAGTGTCTTCTCCTTCCTTCCTCACTCATTCCCTCTCCCCTCCCCTCTCTCTGCCCGCCCCTCCCTCTCCCCCCCCATCCCCTCCCTCCCTCCCCCCCCCCTTCCCCTTCCCCCCCATTCCCCAACCCCATCATTTCCCCCCATCCCTGCTGTGTCACCTCTTTCAGCCTCCGACTCATGTTCACTCCAGGTCCCTCCCGGTGTCCGTCGGTGATTAGGACTCTCCGACAGCCCGCCCCCAGAGAAACGTTCCGGGCGCTCAGAGAGCAAAGTGAAAGGGAGGAGGGTGATGTTGCCCTTTCATTGAACTGTACTTGAAGTTCTGATTTCCATATTATAAAGGGATGCTCTGGAGAATATGCAACAAGATTCACAGGAATGATAAGGGAACTGAACGAATATATGTTATTTAGGAAGGTCTGAACAGGCTGGGTCCCCTTTCTCTCTAACAGAGAAGCCCAAAGAATGGTCTGATAGAGGTCAAAAAAGAGTTCAATGTGGTAGACAAAAAAGTTTCCACTTTTGGGGGATGTCCAATAGTTAGGATCGTAAATATAAAAATCACTACTAAATACAATAGGGGATTCAGGAAAAACGTCTTTATTTGTGTGATGACAATGTGCAGCTTCTTTCTCAAGGAGTGTGGAGACAAATACCATGAATATACATCAAAGGGAAGGTTTTTGGTATTGGCAGGTCACAATCACAGTTATCCACTGAGAGGAAGTCGAATTTTTCTAAGCAATTTTCAAAAAGTCGGATAAACTTGTTAAGAAGCAGCAGTTTAGAGACAATGTACTGTTCAATTAGAGAAATAAAGGAAATATAAAATACAAGAACACTTTAACGATCCTGTAAAATGGAGGAGCAGAGGCAGCAGTTTTGCAGTGATAGACTGTTTGGCCATGATGACCAACATGGAGTTGGGGGGGAAAGATCCAGTTGTCACACTCCACGTAGGTACCACTGATACAGGTAGAAAGAGGAAAGAGATTCTGCTGAGGAAATGTGAGCAATTGGGGACTAAATTAAACAGCAGAACCAAAAGATAATAATCTTGGGATTACTACTGAAGCTACTAGCGAATTGGCACAGGGTCAACAAGAGACAAACGCAGGGCTCAAAGATTGGTGTGGGAGAAACGGGTTCAAATTCATGGGACATTGGCACCAGTAATGGGGAAGGAGGCAGCTGTTCTGAAGGGACCAGCTCCACCCGAATCATGTTGGGATCAGAGTCCTGGCAAATCGCATAACTACAGCTGTGAATAGGGCTTTAAACCAAATAGTGGGACACAGGGTATTCAGTTGCATGGAGAATTATGGAAAAAGTTAAAAGGGATGGTGGAGGCTGAAAGGTCTGATGGTGGATAAATCCATTGGACCAAATGGACTACACACAAGGGTTCTGAAACCAGGGGGTAGCTGAGGAGATTGTTGAAGCATCTATCAGGAATCACTGGGGCCAGGAAAGGTTCTGGAGGACTGGAAAATGGTTAATGTAACATCCCTGTTTAAGAAGGGAGGGAGGCAGAGGACAGGAAACTATAGGCTGGTTAGCCTGACTTCAGCCATTGGTAAGATTTTACAGATCGCTGTTAAGGGTGAGATTGCAGGGTATTTGGAAGTGCATGGTAAAATAGGGCTGAGTCAGCATGGCTTCATGAAGGGGTGGTCATGCCTGAAAATCTGTTAGAATTGTTTGAGGTAACAAGCAAGTTAGACAAAGGAGAGCCAGTGGGCGTGATCTGTTTGTATTTCCAAAAGGTCTTTGACAAAGTGCCACACAGGAGGCCACTACATAAGATCCCATGGTGTTAGGGCATGGTACTGGTATGGATAGAGGATAGGCTACCTGGCAGAAGGCAGAGAGTATGGATAAAGGGGTCTTTTACAGGATGACAGCTGGTCACTAATAGAGTTCTGCAGTGTCAGTGTTGGGACCATAACTATTTATACTTTACATTAACAATCTGGATGAAAGAACTGAGGGCATTGTTGCTAAATTTACAGATGACACAAAGATAGGTGGACGGGCAGATTGTGTTGAGGAAGTGGAGAGGCTGCAGAAGGAATTGGAGAGTGGGAAAAGAAATGGCAGATGGAATACAATGTGGGTAACTATGAGGCTATGCGCTTTGGTAGGAAGAATAGAGGTGTAGACTATTGTCAAAATGGGGAAAGGCTTCAGAAATCTGAATCACAAAAGGACTTAGGAATCCTAGTTCAGGATTCTCTTAAGGTTAACATGGGGTTCGGTTGACATTTAGGAAGGCAAATGCAATGTTAGTGTTCATTTCTAGACAGCTAAAATACAAGAGGAGAGACGTACTGCTGAGGCTGTATTAGGCTCTGGTCAGACCGCATTTGGAATATTGGAATATAGGGCTTTAAACCAAATAGTGGGACACAGGGTATTCAGTTGCATGGAGAATTATGGAAAAAGTTAAAAGGGATGGTGGAGGCTGAAAGGTCTGATGGTGGATAAATCCATTGGACCAAATGGACTACACACAAGGGTTCTGAAACCAGGGTGTAGCTGAGGAGATTGTTGAAGCATCTTTCAGGAATCACTGTATCTAAGGAAGGATGTGCTGGCCTTGGAGGGGCTCCAGACGTGGTTTACAACTTGATCAAAGGGATGAAAGGCTTGACAATATGAGGTGCAGTTGAGGACTCTGGGTCTGTACCCGATGCAGTTTAGAAGGATAAGGGGGGATTGAAATTTAGTGAATTTAGTGGCCTGGATAGAAAGAACATGGAGAAGATGGTTCCACTAGTAAGAGAGATTGTACCCAAGGGCAGAGCCTCAGAATGAAGGGGCAACCCTTTAGAACTGAGATGAGAAGGAATTTCTTCAGCCAGAGGGTGGTGAATCTGTGGAACTCGCTGCTGCAGAGGGCCGTGGAGGCCAGGTCATTCAGTGTATTTAGGACAGAAATGGATAGGTTCTTGATTATTAAAAGGATCAAGGGTTATGGGGATAAAGCAAGAGAATAGAGTTGAGAAACATATCAGCTAGGATTAATTGATAGAGCAGACTCGATGGGCAAAATGGCCAAATTCTGCTCCTATATCTTACGGTCTAATAGTCCTTTTCAATTATCATTGTCTTTTCTTTGGCCTGGTCATTAATTCCAATTGTCTTAAAAATCTTTATGTTTTTTTTCCTTAAGTCTACCTTCAAAAGGAACAATACAAACAGAGGTAACAAGGTGTAGAGCTAGATGAACACAGCAGGCCAAGCAGCATCCGAGGAGCAGGAAGGCTGACGTTTCGGGCCTAGACCCTTCTGAAGAAGGGTC